CATTGGAATTCCAAGCGGGTGAACATGTCCTATCAAGTTGAGACCAAAACAATTTCAATTTCGAGGAAATAGGGACCAAAGACTAGTGCAAAATTGCGAAGGGCCAGTCAAAGTCATCAAAAAAGTCTGGAGGACTTTATACCGTCTTCAACTACCGACATCAATGAAGAATCCATGTAAGTAGTTTGAAACCATACCACCCCGATGATGAGGACCATCGACATAATGAAGTGATGTGACCTCCCATTATGATGAAAGATACAAGCAAGAAAGAAGTAGAAGAGATCTTGGCCGAATGAGCAGTCACATCGGCAACCCAAGTTGGAACATACAATAACTTCTAGTTAGGTGGAAAGGACAACCAAAAGTAGAGATCAGTTGGGAACTTGCAGAAGACCTGAAGTCGGCCGCACCTCAAATTACGAAGTTTGAAGAGATGAAACGGTTGGCAGGAACGTCAACCAATTAAGTGAGGGAGAATGTCACGGTCATGCTTGTCCAAGACGTGTTGCCTATAACCGCATGACTGTTGCATGCCTAAACACCTTGCATTGTATCACTTTTTTGTTTTTCTTCATCGCTTTCATGATATATAGTTTCTTTATTGTATTTTCTAGTTTATGATGTTTCGACAAAATCATGTCTACACCTGGTAGACCTAACATGCCTCATGATGTACTTTAAGGGAATGCGACTAGTCATCAATTCTTCCTATCATAATTATATGTTATCTAAGTCGTTATGTTGCCTTTTTTGCTTATAGCCTATAACATTTCTTTCTTCATTTGCCTCAATCTTGCTTTCGAACTTTCTTTTTAAATCTCTCTCTGCCCCGTTTTCTAAAACTTTCTTCTTAAAGCGAGACCAAAGGTTTGGGTATTGTCGCCCAGTTGAAGGCAACACGATTTTGAGTTGTCTGACTCACTTTGGAGTGAAAGTGAGTATCGCATAATCGCCTACAAACATCTCATAAGAGTGCGATTGTGAGACATAACAACGAACAGGAATATACTCATAATCACAAACTTAGTCCTCTATCAATTAAACAACCATACTGCCATCATTAATGAATTTGCACAAAACAACCTTTTCCATAATTTCAAAGGGAAATCTAATGGCTTGTAGGTGTTTTCAAAGCTGATTAGCCATGGTTTGAACGTACACGGTTGTCTAAGTCAAACCATATTGGTGGCTGCACTTGATTCCCATCAAAACTTTGATAGCGATCTCCAATTTTCTTCAAGAACTTTGATGATACCATATTAATAAAAAATAGAAAGTTTGAGAGAGTTTGACATAGATTATGTAACGACTTGAAATTTTCTACTTAATTTAAGGTCGCTACTATATATGTACCATAAACATTGAAGGCAGAAGACTTCATTTAAATTCCATAAAATATAACCTTTATCTTAAAACACACTATAGACTTACATGTTTCGAAAACATCTTTAAAATGACAACAAAATACTAAATAAAATAAGTAAACGTTTAAGTTAAAAACATCTTAGTAAGTGACCCCACTATTAGGCTTAATTGCAACAATCACATGCAATGAGATGATGAGACCTATCTTTCATTCCGTTTTCCCTACGGTGCTGTCCTAACAGGTAATTTTGGACGTGTACCGTATACTCTACACACAGCCCCTACGTGCGAGTATGGGCTCACCAGTTAGTTCGCACACCGCTAGGCCACCTTCATTATCCGATGGCCATACTCTGAGAGCCCCTTAGGCTGGACACCCGCTGGAACTAGTAATCGTCACGGCAGTGCTATGCAAAGCATAACGATCGTTGTCCTGCCATTGGATGTACACGCCCGTACCCTCGTGATGGGATCGAGTATCCCCCAAATGCATGAGCACACATAATGCCTGAGGTCCCAAAATTTTTCCATTTTCATTATCCTTTAATACAACCCCGCTAGCATTATGTACATATCATATCATTTTTCATATCGTTTCAGATATCGTTCATCATTCATATCATATCGTTTCTCATTCTTCAGTTCTCAAATCATACATAATTCTAACAGGGTTGTATTTCATGCCATTTATCGTAATTTCATGTCATTCATATCATGTTGTATACACACAATTTAAGAGACCTAACATAACGTTCTATGCTTTTAACATAACATTTCATCATATACACATCATACCATGACATATTGCATCACAATGTATCATATCATAAACAAGTCATAATGTAAACACTTCGTAGTCATATCGTTCTCTAACTTATCATAGTCTTAACGTTCTTATACCTATCACAGACATATCATTACGTGAATGTCCTTAGTCATCTCATCACAAGAACTTAACCTAACACTATCGTTCTATCAATCCTAACGCTATCGTTCTATCAATCTATCACAAACCTATCCCTTTCTACCCGTAGCCTAACCGTATTCTTCCATCAATCTCTCTTATCCATATCACTCTGGTATGTAACCTAAATTTAACGTTTCATGAACGTATTTTACTCTTATCGCTACATTTCGTTTTGTGCATCCTTCTTGTATCCTATCTCAAACATATCCTTGAACACATTGTACCGTAATTATTATCATACAATTCACATATTATAACATATACATAACACATAGGAAGCATATCGATCCACAGACAATTCACACATATCAATATATATGACACGTGCAAAATCACAGGGCACGTGTCAACATCAAATATAATTGGTTGTGATTTCCTAAAACTCATACAAAATCCTTTTTATTTAATCTCTAATTCAAAACTAAATAATTGTAATCAAATTAATATTACTTAATAAAATAAAAGGAAGATTTAACCTACTACTATTGACCTCTTCAAATGACATATCTCCCCATGTAGAACTAAATCTGCTTGAACCTTTTGTTTTTTATATTTGTTTTTGTAGGAAGATGATATGGGTAAATTTGCATTGTTTTTACAGAAAAAGAATTACTTATTTGTTTTCAGATTTATTTTTAGGAAAGAAGTGGTGAGAGATTGAAGGAAAGAGGAGGGATATGTTACCAAATGTTTTTTTTTAATATTATTATTATTTTATTTTATTTTCCCCCCGTTGTGCAATGACAAGGAGTTGATTTTGAGGAGCTCTTTGCGCCAGTGGCTAGATTCGATCATATGAGGTTGATTTTTGTCCTCGCAACTCAACATGGGTGACAGGTTCATCAACTAGACGTCAAATTAGTATTTCTAAATGGTGACCTCTAAGAAGAAGGGTAAGTTGTCCAACCTAAAGGTTTCATCGTCAAAATCAAATAGCACAAAGTGTACAAGTTGCAAAGGTCCTCTACGGTTTATGGTAAGCACCGAGGGTGTGGAACAATCGCCTGGACAAGAGATTGAAGAGTCTTCGTTATATGAAGTACTCGCAAGAGCAAGCAATATATATTAAAGTCATGGAGCTGAAGCACTAATAATTGGCGTGTACATGAATTGATCACCACCATACAAGTGTAGAATACTTTAAAATGGTGGAAGAATTCGAGAGGATTGAACTTAGGTTACTCACATACTACCTCAATATTAAAATGGACCAGAAAAAAGATTACATCATGCTAAGGTATTTGGACTAGACTAAGAAATTGGTACAAGAATCTAAGATGACAGAGTGCAACCCAGCAAAATATCTCATGGAAGGAAAGTTACAACTTGAACAATACGTTGAAGGAAGTTTAGTGAATCCCACCTAGTATAGACGCATTATTAGAAGTCAAAGGTAGTTGACTCATACTCGTCCAGATCTTTGATATGTTGTCAAAATAGAGACGAGTATAGACGCATCATTGAAAGTCAAAGGTAATTGACTCTTACCCAGAGAAATCAACGTGTGGGAGAAAGAAAACTCAGGCAGTGAGGGAGAGAAAATAACTTGGCCGAGGGGTTTGGAGGCTGAAGGATATTTAGAGAGAAATTTTGAATGGATTTAGGCAAATGAACCCGGTACAAAACCCAGTTAGAAAACCTACATACATAATTATTGAAGCTCGGAATACTTTGTTGATCAAATATCTAACAAATATCTCAATATAATCACTCCACAAGCAAAATTGATCATGTCAACCTGAAAAATTTTAGGAACAAATTATATATATTATTTTTTTTAATCAAATATCGAAAGACAAGAAATTTGTTTAAGATTCGAATTACTTCTCAAGAAAACTTGATTAAGACTATTTGAATGACTCAATCCAAATTGAAACACAAGAAATATCTTAATACTATTTTATTCTTGGAAGTAGCCATCACAAGTAAGCTTCATTCATAGAAAATTGAAAAGCATTTGGGCGATTCAAATATTTTAATACAAAGAAACTCTGTCCTTAAGTTTTAGGGGTTTGTTTTCATTTGGGTTATTTGTTTTAGTATGTTTCTATTGAGAGAGAAACCAACATCAAAAACATCTTGAGCTACAACAACGTTCGTGAATGGATTGATTAGGGAGGAGAAGATTGAATAAAGAATTGAGAGTGAGGGAGATAAAAGAAACCCGAGAGAGAGAGAGGTAGGATTTACGGATGGTTCTTGCACAGACTGTTTTTAACTCAAAACCAACTAACCCCTATTGTCTTCTATCCCATCAAACATAAATCACCCTTTCGAGATTTCTTTACACCGACATGACATCGTCCAAAAATACTACTTGTCTTTTTAAAAGGGAGAGACTTGGAAAAAAAAAAAAAAAAACTGGAAATGGGAATTTGAATACAGTTTGTGTGGTGATGTTGTGGATCTATTGCAAAGTAAATTTGAATCTTTTATATATAAAAAAAGAAATTGTGGTTAATATTGGAATAAATGTAAAAAGATGAACCTAAATTAGAAAACAAGAAAAATTGGTCAAAAATGTATAAATAGGAAAAGGATCGGTGAAATCTAAAATAGAATAATTTGACCAAAAGGTAATGAATCTGAAGTTATGTCTGTAAAAAATATTTTGGTTGTAAAACAAAAAGGAGGAATACAGAGCAAATCTCCGGGTCTCTCTCTATCTCTCTCTAGCCTCTGCTTCGCTGTTAACAAATCCGATTCCTCTGTCCCTTTGCCCCTCCTCGCTTACTCCTACCTTATAACTCACCCTCCTCTCCTCCCTCTCTTCTCTAATTTTGCAACTCAAATCTCCCTCGCTCTCTCTCTTCTTCAGGTAATATCTCTTCCCCTCTTTCTTTCACACCCCTTCTCCTACTTCCATGCTTTAAATTTACACTCTAAAACAGGGGATTCTACCGTTCCTAATTGCAACAAAATGAACAAGATGGTGGTTCAACACAACGCGCTTTCAGTTCATGACGACATGCTCAACGCCTCCGCCGTCGACCCTCATCAACGACTGGTTTGCCCAAAACCCCGCCGTCTCGCTCCCATCAACGTCCGCCCTTTTCAATCAGATGCTTTGGAGCTCCTCTTCTTAAAGGTACGTAATTTGGGTTCAAATTCCTTATTCAATAAAACAAGAGGATTCATAATTAGTTTTTTTTTTTTTCTCTCTCTTTTCAGGGCGGTTGTGGATTGGACAGTTTTAATAGTAGTGGTACAGAATTAGCCTCGTCGCCGCCGTTTTTTTGTGGGTCGCCGCCGAGCAGAGTAGCTAACCCATTAATCCAAGACGATCGATTTGGGGATGAGAAGCCGAAGGTGTTCCCCCTCTTCTCGCCAGCGCCTCCTTCTCCGTCGTCTCCTCCGCCATCAACCGGTCGGACAGGCGGATGTGTTCGGGTTAATTTTGGAAACAACCCGGCGGTGAGAATTGAGGGGTTTGAATGCCGGCTCGATAGGGAGAGGCGGAACCGCAGCGTCGCAGCTCTGGCTTAGAAACGCGATCCAAGTGGAGCGGAGCCCGATTGAACAATGACGATGACCAACAAACCACAAACAAATGGATTTTATTTTTATTTATTTTATTTTCCAAATATTTAAAATTTAAAATGAAATTTAGAAAAAAAAAAAAAAAAAAAACCTTTTTGACCAAAAACCCATTATTGTAAATAATTTGAAAAGGAAATGAAACTTTTCTTTTTTAAAAATATTTTTTGGGACAAATTGGAGCCAAATTCTTTATTATATAAATAGTTTAGGTGATTGTACAAATAGCGGCGATGAAATAGGCATGATGTGACATTTCAATTTAAAGTGGGATTTTTGTTTGTGTTCCTTTTTTTAAATTCAATAATTATGAGATGGGTTTTGGCCCTTTTCTTTACAGTTTTGGACAAATATTACCAAATAAATAAAATCTTCATGCATTGGATATAAGTATTTATGGTAACATATTGCACTCTAATCTTACTTTTTCAAACATCCAACTAAATATTTATCCAAATGCTTTTTTTTTTCCCCTAATACCTTTCCTTTTTTATTTTATTTCAATTTATGGGACTATTTTATTTTAGCATTCGAGATTGGTACGTTTGGTACTTACATCACTGAGCTCTTTTGTTTTGTTGTCTAATTTATAATAATGGTAACGATCAGAATCATATAATATCTATAGAAAGATTAATATCATTCTAACAAATTTTTGGAAAAAATATGATTATGATAAAATTAAAAAATTAATATAAGTCCACATTTTTCATTAATTGTTATTAATGTTTGTAGGAGTGGAAAAAAATTGAATGATGGATTAAGTAACAAATTAATTATGTCTATTAATTTTCAAAGGACATGAGGAGTACAATTTTTTCTCTCAATCGAAGGTTGAACTTCTCTCTACCTTTTAAGCAAGAGATTTCTAGAATTCTACAATTTCTCTTCACAAATTTTCTGATAGATTAAATTACTTCAAAAAAAAAAAAAAAAAAAATTCAAGATCTAATTAACCTAGTAAATCTCTCCTTATCATTTTCATAACTACTCCAAATTTTCTACTTGATTTAAGGTCATTATTCTAACATATTATGAAAAAAAAATTCATTTAAACTTTTATAAAAAGTCTCATCTAAAAACACAACTATGATACAGTGTTTGAAAAACACCTTTAAAACAACACAACAAAATACTAAATAAACTCAATCTATTTTTCTACGGCACTATCCTAACGGACAGTGGATGTGTACTATATACTCTACACAGTTCATACGTGCAAGTATGGACTCACTAGTTAGTTCGCACATCGCTGGACCTATTTCCTTGTTGGGCGAGCATATTATGATAGCTCATTATATCAGACACCTGTTAGAATTAGTAATTATCACGACAACATTATGTAAGACATAATGATAGTTCTCGTGCCTAGTGGTATATGAATCCGTACACTCGTGATGGAATAGAGGTATTCCCAATGCATAAGCACACATAATGCATGAGGTCTCAATATTTTTCCATTTTCAACATTATTAAATATAACTTCCCTGTCGTTTTTCATTCATATCATATCATTTCTCATATTTCAGTTTTCATCTCATGTATAATCTAACGGGGATATATTTCAAGTCATTTATCATAATATCATGTCATTCATAATATGCCCATGTTGTATACATAACAATTTATGAGACATAACATACATTCCATGATTTTAACATAACGTTTTATAAAGTGCGATTCATACAATAATTACCTCAACAGTCGCATATAACAGTTTAAACATAACATATCACATCACAATATATCATATCATAAACATCTCAATTTATCACATATTTCGTACTATAACATATTTCATATCATATCATATCATTCACATGTCGTATCATAACCATATCATATCATAAACACTTTGTATCAATCTACAATCTATCATAATTTTATCTCTTTCTACCTATAACCTAACCGTATTCTTTTATCAACCGATTATGACCATATTGTTTTTATCAATCTCTCATATCCATAGCACTTCGATACATAACCTAACCTTAACATTTCATGAATATATCTTGCTCATATTGTTACGTTACTTTTAATGCATCCTTCTCGTATCCTATCTCAAACATATCATTGAACACATCGTATTGGAAGTATTATCATACAATTCACATATTATAACATATACATATCATATCATAAGCATACTAATTCATAAACAATTCACACATATCAATATATATGACACGTGTAAAATTATAGGGCACATGTCAACATCAAATCTAACCTTGTCAATAGTAAGACTACTTGGATGACATTAGCCGAAATTCTATCTAACTCCAAATTAACTTGCTTTCATCTCTCGAATTCGTTCGCACTTTTGCTAAAGAGTTTCACCTTATTAAAGATGTTCATCGAATTCCTTCGATAATTCTAATTCCTAAATTTTGTAAGTATTTAACAAATTCTTAATCTTTCCATTTAGATGTAACTAACAATACAATGTCTAACCTACCCTTTATTAGATACTATAATATGTCTTTCCATTTAATATTTTTCATATCTTCCCTTTTCTTTCTATCTCCTTCTGTTTTTTCGATCTATTATTTTTTTTTATGTGTTTTTATTTTATTCTCTTTTTGTGTTTTAACATTTTGTATTTTTACTCTCAAATCTTTACTTCTATTTTCTCACTGGGCTGTATTTTCTTTTTTTCTCTTTTGATTCTATTAACAGTGTTATTGTCCATTTTAATTTATTCTTTCTTCTAAATCTTTCCTTTTCCCTCTCTTCTCTTTCTAGTTTTATTCTATTTCTAGATATTATTGGCCAATTTTTAATTCATTTGGTCTGACAGTGATTTACTAGAATTGGCATAAAATTATTGATAGCTCATTTCTAACTCAAACTTAAACCATGGAGGGAAGATATAATTGGTAATTGGCTGTGATATTGGCTTGTTTTTTCTCTTTTTGCACCAACTTGATTCTAGCTTAATCAATAGGTTAAGGAGAGATAATTGGAGAAATAGATGAGAGGTTAGTGGAGAGTAGCTGGGAAGGGTTTTTTTTTTTTTTTTTAATTTTTTTTAATTTTTATTCTTTTTTAAAAAGTTATAATTATTTTTATTTGTTTATTTATTTATTTTGTTGGCTATTACAATTGGTCTTATTTCATCACATTGCTAGTCCAATAGAATTCAACCATTGATCTTCACTATGATCGAAAGAAAGAAAGAAAATTGATCATGACTTTTATACGTTTTCTTCTTATGTGTGTTGTGTGTCATGACCATGCTTGTCCAAGATGTGATGTCTATGGCCGCATGTCGGATGTCTTAGTCATGCTTGTTCAGGACGTGTTGTCCATGGCCTCATGACCATTCAACCCTTTTTACTTGCTTTCATGTTACATAGATGTAAGGATTAAAAAACAAAAAAAACGTCGATCAGCAAAAAAATTCGAAAATTCCAGCGAGACACCTGAAAACTTGGACAACCAACACCCAGCCCACAACCCTAAGGAAAAATGCTCCACACACACCAACCCTCATCACCAAACCTACAAACAAAAGAGAGAGGGAAAAGAATGGCGAAGGTGAGCGAGAGAAGACGAACAACCATCGTAGTTTCGGGCGAGTGCAAATCGGCGAAATCAAATCAAACCTCTACCTCTCGTTTTAATATCGCCCTTAATCTCCCGTTGATGTACAGAAGATATGTCTATTGATTGTAGTTCATTTTCCTTCAAGAAATCGTGAAAAAATGTGAGGTAAGATTTTAAGCATTTTTTTAGATCTAGGTCTGAAATCTTGATATGTTCACCTAGAGGGAATCCTCTGCACGATTCGTGAAGAAACCTAGCCAAAATTCTGGACCGAAGTGGGAGATATGAGAGTCCTTCAAGAATGGTAAGAATGCTATTGGATCTTCTTCCCGTGCTCATAACTTAGTCTTTAATGGTGTTTAAATTCCAAGAAAAAAATAGTAGGATGTAGATTGAACTATGATTTAAAACTTTGCTGAAGAGAACGATTTGAATCAGATTCAAATCTAAAGATATGAAAAAGAGAAAACGGAAAGAAATCTAATCGAAAATCGTCGTTCATATACAGGAGGAGAGAGAAACAGCTCTAGTAAGCCACGTGTTGACCGGCGAGTGGAACAATGGGTACCACCAAACTGAGGACATGCGTTAGGCGCTAGGTGGAGCCATGCGTTGAACACCACGAGGAGCAACGTGGCTCCACCTGATCTGTGACACACGACCTTTACAAACGATCCGACCCTGCAAGTCCAACCCGGGTGAACCGAACCAGCTGACCCACGAACCAAACCAACCTGAATTGGAGCACCTAACTCGTGATTGTAGATAAACGACAAGCTGTGGGACTTGAGGTGCGTGTAAGTCTAAATCTAACCCGTTCGACTACTGTTTGCCCTATTTTCATCCTACTTCGAATTCTAACCATGTTCGGACTTGAAATAGGAGCTAATGGAGGAAATATGTATTCTTGGACACTTAATTTTGTAGAAACGCTAAACAAATGGCACATGTCAGTTAAGTAAGTGATCTTATTATCGGCATCATAATATTTGATGCTGACACGTGCTCTATAGGCCTGCACGTGTCATAATTTTGATATGTGTGCATTGTTTATGAATCAATATGTCTATGATATGTTATGCATGTGATGATATGTGAATGATATGATAACTCTTACATTATGATGTGTTCAATTATATGTGTGAGATAGGATATAAGAAGGATGCAATAAGCATAATGTAACGATATGATTAAGATGTGATGGATATAACAATATGGTTAGGTTATGTATAGAAAAGAATATGATTATGATAGGCTGGTAGAACGATTGGTTAGGATATGTTCCTATAATAGTATGACTAGGATACATCCCTGTAACTATATGACTAGGATACGTCCCTATAACGATATGTCTAGGATACGTTCATTAAACGATATGGTTAGGAAGGTTTCCTGTAACGATTTGACTAGGATACGTTCATGAAACGATATGAGTAGGATACGTTCATGAAATAATATGATATAGGATGTTGGAGACGATATGATGAAGGTATGTTCATGAAATGATACAACTATGA